CAAATTGATAATCGGACAGTAGTATGGCATAGCAGTTTATTCTTGGTCCATACCCTGAAATTGACCTCATTTGACCCACATATTTACACTTGAACCAAACCAATTTCTCGTCTTGGATGTGGTTTTTTTTCATTTTCTGTTATTTTTGTCCATGATTGGATAGAAAAAAAAGAACAACAAATACTCCAAGATTTTTTTGACTTCATTAAAATAAAAAAAAAAACCACCCCGAAACTAAAGCAAATAAGTTTTTTATCCGACATCGACATTTTTACCATTTATATATATTTTTCTATACATGTACTATATCGGTTAATTTTGAATTAAACCAAAGGGATATACATGTACTATATCGGTTAATTTTGAATTAAACCAAAGGGATATACATGTACTATATCGGTTAATTTTGAATTAGAACCAAAGGGATATACATGTACTATATCGGTTAATTTTGAATTAGAACCAAAGGGATATACATGTACTATATCGGTTAATTTTGAATTAGAACCAAAGGGATATACATGTACTATATCGGTTAATTTTGAATTAGAACCAAAAGGATATACATGTACTATATCGGTTAATTTTGAATTAGAACCAAAGGGATATACATGTACTATATCGGTTAATTTTGAATTAGAACCAAAGGGATATACATGTACTATATCGGTTAATTTTGAATTAGAACCAAAGGGATATACATGTACTATATCGGTTAATTTTGAATTAGAACCAAAGGGATATACATGTACTATATCGGTTAATTTTGAATTAGAACCAAAGGGATATACATGTACTATATCGGTTAATTTTGAATTAGAACCAAAGGGATATACATGTACTTTTCTATTGACTATAGGTTATGATTAAAATTTTGGAATAAAGAAATGTGAAAATACTGCGTAAAATTTTAGCAAATTTGACTCCATAAATAATAAATATATTAAATAAAGTATCAGCTATTTCATTGTGAGAATATACTTTCTGTTAAATTAGTTACATTATAGACTAGTGAAATTACAGATTAGCTCAATTAGCTAAAATAACATGCTAGCTAAAAAGACGTATTTTACAGTAATTATTTGCAGTTTATTTTTGGAATGACAAAAGTTGACTTAGTCTCAAAGCATGGAAATTGTGAAGATTTTGTTCGTATTGAAAACTGTAGATGTACAGCTCTACTTCCTAGCTGGCTTTGCATTCATTTTTGACTCCCATGTGCGAAGCACAAAATGGGAGTCTTTGCAGTTAGTGTGTCTGTATGTGTGTATGTGTGTATGTGTGTATGTGTGTATGTGTGTATGTGTGTATGTGTGTGTGTATGTGTGTATGTGTGTCCGACTGTTCCACTGCTATCTCAAGAACCATACATCGGTTTTTGATGAAACTTGGTGCATAGATGCTCTGGGCCAATGCGCAGATTTGATTAGGTTTTGGTAAAAATCCATGCTCGTTAATTACCTAATTTGCATGATAATTAGCTAATTTTTAGCTGTTCTATGACTGTTCCACTGATATCTAAAGAACCACTCATTGGATTTTGATGAAACTTGGTACATAGATGCTCTGAACATATGCGCAGATTTGATTAATTTTTGGTAAAAATCCATGCATATTAATTACCTAATTTGCATGATAATTAGCTATTTTTTAGTGGTTCCATGACTGTTCCACTGATATCTAAACAACCACTCATTGGATTTTGATGAAACTTGGTACATAGATGCTCTGAACTAATGCTAGGTTTTGATTAGTTTTTGGTAATAATCCGTGGATACTAATTACCTAATTTGCATAATGATTAGTCAATTTTCGGTTTTTCCACTGATATCTCAAGTACTAATCATCACATTTCAATGAAACTTGGTACATAGATGTCATACGACACTGCACAGACCTGATAGTTTTTATGGTAATATCAGTACATATTAATTACCTAATTTGCATAATTAATTAATTTTCAG